CGGGTTGGTTTCAGAGGCCGGTTGGACATATAGGCTACCAGAAAAGCCCTATTCCTTCAAAGATTTTGTAGCAAACATTACTAAACCTGATTTCCCTGGTTTAAGACTGCAAGCAAAAGCCAAAAGTACAACAGCTACGGGGGACGCTACGGGACTTTTCGCGGGCGAATCTGCCGCTGGTCCCGAGGACATAGCTCCTCCAACGCGGTGACTTTTTCCGCCGTGAATTTCATGGAATTCGTCTTCTTAAGTCGGCCCTTTGCACAGAATATGTTGGTCTTGACTAATTCAGTTGTCTGGCGTCTGTATTATCGAGTATTAAAAGGAGGCGTCTTGGTTTTAGCCTGGTAATCATGCCACGGGAGCTCCCTGACATCTCTACGGCGCTGGGAGTGTTACCTGCCCGCCCGGCACATTAACGCACGTCGGGGCATTTTTACGGGGTCGGCTTCGATAATTTTAGCACGGCATTGAGTAGAAGGCCGACTAGAAAGATAGATAGATTTACAGTACACGCGTTTACAGTACACGCGTTTACAGTACACGCGTTTACAGTACACGCGTTTACACTACACGCGTTTACACTACACGCGTTTACAGCACACGCGTTTACAGTTTACAGTACACGCGTTTACAGTACACGCGTTTACAGTACACGCGTTTACAGTACACGCGTTTACAGTTTACAGTACACGCGTTTACAGTACACGCGTTTACAGTACACGCGTTTACAGCACACGCGTTTACAGCACACGCGTAACTGAAGTGCGCCGATTTCGGAGGAATGTACGTACATTCCTCCGAAATCGGCGCACTTCTCAGGCGGCGGTTTGAGCGTACAGTCCTCCAGGTGAGCGGACGTTCCTCCGGTTTTGAGCGTACATTCCTCCGAAATCGGCGCACTTCTCAGGCGGCGGTTTGAGCGTACACTCCTCCAGGTGAGCGGACGTTCCTCCGGTTTTGAGCGTACATTCCTCCGAAATCGGCGCACTTCAGTCGGCGGTTTGAGCGTACAGTCCTCCAGGTGAGCGGACGTTCCTCCGGTTTATTTGAGCGTACCTTCCTCCGAAATCGGCACACTTCAGTCGGCGGCGGTTTGAGCGTACACTCCTCCAGGTGAGCGGACTGTTCCTCCGGTTTTGAGCGTACATTCCTCCAGGTGAGCGGACTGTTCCTCCGGTTTTGAGCGTACCGTGGTGGTTCAGCGTATTCGCGGGCCGGCCTGACCACATCAGCAAGTTGGATTCTAGCGGGCTGGATGAACCACCCTAGCCCCACGGTATTGAACAGAGTTGAGGAAAATCACAATCTTTCAAACTATGCTTGTAAAATGACCGAAAAATGTACCGCTGAGCGCCAAAGTTCCCCGTAAATAAACACCGGCTCCCTCCCAACAACCGCCCGGCAACTTTTGCGACCAAGCCCGCCGAAAGCACCCCCAAAACTACGCCTTCTCCTTCTCACAAGCAGTTACGAGAAGTTTATGTCATGATATTGAGTTATTTGTGATAGAAATTAGGCGATTCCGCCTCAAAATTTGTTGTAATTCGGCGATACGAGCTGTTGTAGTAGCGCTGAGTTTGTCAACATTCGCCACTCTGTGTCTGAAAAATGATGCATTTTGCAAACGGCGAAACCGCGAGGGTCCGGAAAAATCAAGTAAAACTTCAAAGTACGTCCTTTCTCTTCCGTGGCGTTTGTATACTATTTTAAATGTACGACAGAACCGTTCAAAACTCACTGAAAATACTCAGCGTTTTCTAGAAAAGTTAAGATTTTTAGGTCGATCAAGTATCAAAACTAAAACCCCAAAACACCCTAATTTCGGGCGGTTGGAAACCGGAAGTGCCGATACAGACAGTCGCTTGTAATGTAAGGATCCACTCGCGGATTTGGGCGATTTGGGAATTGCCAAAATCACTGGGCTCGTAAGGGGTTTTCAACTTTTTACAGAATTTTCCATATTATGACTTTGTGAATAAGTTTACAAGCGGAAAACATATCATTTTATTTTTTGTAGGATATAAGTGAAATAATTGGCAAAAATTTATGAAAATATATGAGTTTTTTGAAGCTAGAAAAATATTTTACTGTGGACTAGATTTTCCTTTATATACCGCTCCGGTTCAATTATGCTTATCAAATATGTACATGAATTAAAGAATGGCTCATTTTACACATTATGCAACTGTGTTTTTGTAAACCTAACCCTTTTTTTAATGTATTGTGCCTATTTTCAAATGGCAACCTGACTATAATATACTGACTCAATGCCTTACCCAAAATGCCCTTGTTTTCGCACGTTGACTGACAGAGTTAATGTCTGACGTCTCCTCATTACCGCCATCTTGTAGAATTATGACCTTGAGGTGCGTTCCTCGGCTCAAGGACGTTTTTCTGCAAGGCGTATATGTTCTATAGCCCCGCCATGTTGTACATTGATTCTATGTAACCTCCAAGCAGATATTGGGAGTCTAAACCAAACTCGCACTCTATACAACCTAGGTAATCTCCAAGCAGATACTACGGTGGCAAGACAGTATCCATTGGCCAGCGGAATGTCCATTAGCTATCTCCAAGCAGATCCTACGGTGGCAAGGCAGTATCTATTGGCCAGAGGAGTGTCCATTAGCCATCTCCAAGCAGATCCTACGGTGGCAAGGCAGTATCCATTGGCCAGAGGAGTGTCCATTAGCCACCACTTTGGGATACTGCCTTGCCCCCGTATGATCTGCTTGGAGATTAAACCATGGAGGTTTTGTCCCTCAGCCTTTTTTAATGATCTTCAACATGCTTGAGATGTGGTTCCAAGCAGATGCATAGGGCAGATTTGTGCGTTTGTACATTACAGTTTCACGCATTCTCAATCTTTATATGGCCTTGCAATGCATGTTTTAATCCTATTCTTGGACCTGACTGTCATCTGGCTAACATATCTTACTATGGGTCACAGTTATCTTCTATCAGAGCCTATTTTGCATAGATTGGGAGAGGCTAACCAATGTGAATATTATAAAATCCTTATACTCTTGATACAGTATTTTTACACTTTGATATGCTATGTTTTATATGGAGATGTGTAAGTTAATCAAAAGCCAACATCATGCTGCATATATTATGTGAATGTAGAAGTCATTTGCATAATTAAAGAAGAAATTTGCATTTACATGTGAAGCCTATATTTCATGGAGGTATGAAATCTTGTAACTCTTGTTGCTACTGTACTAACACTAGCAGAAGTACATTCCAAAAAGCAGCTATCATGTACAGTACATGTCATAGGATTTTATTTTGTGGCAAAAATTTACAGGGAACAAAATGGCATCTATCTAAAGACCAAGATAGCATTTCACAGTTTCATTTGGACGTTCACAAAACTTTCTACTCTAAAATCTCACTCATGCATATTGCATTGTACTTAATAGAATGAAACAATGAAAAAAATCATGTTCAATATGTCGCATACTTGCTTCTCCAGTGTACTAATGCATGGGACTAAAATTGGCTAAATCTACAAACGAAATGTACAAGGAAAACTGCTGCACTGAAACAATACAGCATCTTTTGAGGAAAAAATTCCCTCCTACACTTAGGAAAAGCTTCATATGTACAAATCCACACAATGTAACATAGATGCACATGTAGTCTTGCCACTGTATACATATACAAGCTGCTGTTTCATACATGACAACAAATGTTGCAACAGCTGCTAATCATACTAGTAGTATGCCAAAAGGGACCAGCAAAAACAGTTATAAGATATCAAAGTTCTTGCCTTAAAATACAAATGGTATGATATATGTATGCCACACTTCTTTACATAGGTCACCCTGCAAAAATGTCTTCTTTAAAAAAAAACCTTTGCAAACAATGTCCACACAAATACATATTCTCAATGCTACATGTTATAGTAATATTATGGTAAACTGCACATGTATGTGAATTTTGAAGTAATACTATGTTGTAGATGGGGGGAACATTGCTTTTGAAGGACTCCACTGCAGTATAGTACATGTATGTATGTATATGAGTGTAACGCATAGACACAAAGCTGCATACAAAGAAAGAGCAACTTGCAAGTGTTGTAATGTAACTTGCCGAAATACAGACATAAAGACATCATTTTCATAATAGCAGCTTACTTCCCAGGTTAGAAAAGGTAACTACAGTATATGAAGACTGATATACAGAGTTGCATACAGAGAAAGAAGGAAACAGAGACAAAAAGAGAACATCATTCTCACAATAGCCTTACTCTTGTAACCATACCTAATGTAATTGTCCAACAAGGAATTAAACATACTCTTTTAATTTTCATTTCTGAGACTGCAAGCTGCTATATACTGTAATCAGCAAGAAATGTTAGGGTCTAAATCATGGTCTAAACAAAGCATCATGTAGAACAGTGCCATGTCATGTTGGTGTTTCATAGGGTGGGTTACCACTACCCAGATGAGATGCACGTCTTTCAAACATGTTTAATTGACCAATCAGAGATGGCCTTTGAAGGTCAAGTCAGGAACCAATCACAAGCATTGGGCCACGTTCATTTGACCTTAAGATATGTCGTCAAGGTCTTACAGAAATGGAATATTTGGCAAAAAGCTGTAATATTCAGCTGAAGCATCAAATGACTGTATTTTGTTTATAATCTGTAATTTTGTCCTTCATCCAACCATGTTCCTTCAATTACAGAATTACTGATGATGGAAATTCAAAATGGCGGAAATGTTAACAGGTGCATGCTGGGTACTCACCCTCCCCTACGGGCCGATTTACACGGGGCAAAAAAATTATTTCTCCTGCGTTGAATGACGTTCAGCACATGTGGTACGACAGATTTTTCTGTTTACCTTGTAAACAAGCCATAAGGAGACACAACATATTACTAACAGGCAATGTTACACTGGTTCTATGTATCAGAGACAGTAAGAATTGTTTACAATGTTTTCAGAATCTGTGTGTGTTTGTGTGAACTGATAAAGAAGGCAGAATAGCACCTTATAGAAGGACGCCGCATAACAACAGATACACACATACACTCGTACTGCTGAGCTACATTACAACTTGGCTGCAAAGTTTTTAATTATCCAAACATCATTGTTGTACTTTAAAATTTATTCAAGTATTTTAAAGTCTGACTTTATACTAGTTGTTAACCATAGTTAAAAGCAACTTGATTTTCAATCCCTTTATAGCTACAATAGAACCCTTACAATCTGTCACTAATACTAATTTTACTCATGTTACTATGTCTGCTTTGACTTGAGCAAGTAGTCTTGTGTGTTTCTGTTACTGCAAGTCTGCAGTGCTGTGTGTTGTTGTATGGAAAATGTGCACTTATGTTTAAAAGAAGCATGTTCTCTTTGGCAAGGGTAACATACACACTCCATCAACTATCATTTTGTACACTTGTTACAGTTTCATCAAGAATGCCTGTCCTCCCCACATGTGATGTGGCACAACCCACAACCATACAGACTCAATACAAGCTTAGGAACAAACCATACTACACAGGGGGTGTTCTATGGTAGGAAAGTGATGAAGATAGTGACTTACATGCTTCGCACGGCATGGTGTTACTTGAAACATTTTGTACAAGAGGTCAACTACATTTCTAACATGGACAACTTGAGCACCCCTCTATATAATGGCACAACCCAGTTTTCTTCTCTTGGAAACGTCTACAGTTTATACCAATTGGGGATAATGGGGGAGGGAAGGTCTGCCAAGGGAGAAACACTGACTGAAGTGCTGCACAGTCTGTCTCCATGGAGGGACTCGCCTTTTGTACTGTTGTCATGGTAACATGATGATTGACAGTTACTGCTATGAAGCTGAGCTGGCGGATCCGCCCTCTGCTCTCTTGATGTACAGGTTTAGCTAGCTTCATCTGAAATGACAACAATTCAAATTCAGCCTTGTGTTTGTGAAAATAACACATCCAAAATTATATATACCATTCTTCAAGCCCATGGTTTACCTGCCCTGAAGATGTATTTTCAAGCCAAATTTGTCATTCATTATCCATCTGTCCATCCATCCATTGCTTCATTTTCAACTGTATCAATTTATTCCACATGCTCCACATGTAGGTACCTTCCTGCCTTGCTAAATGATTCAAAACAAAACCTATGTGCTCCTACATTGCTGCTTGTTCATTAGTAAAAAGACTATACATGAAGATTATATCAATTAAAACAAAACCTGACTTTATTACAAAGTTGTCGCACCTTGCTGCCTGTTAGTGAGGACAGGTGAGGCTTGAGTTCGTCCCCCAGGACGGTGTGTAGAGCGACCAGGGCGAACACGCTGGCCTTCCTCACGCTGCTCTCCTGGTTATCATACCCCTGCAGCAGCCCCGGCATGATGTCATCCAGCAAGGGACTCAGCAGGTCCTGAGCCATCATCTCAACAACCTGCAAAAACAGCATTTTTGTTAGCCAGGGGTCGAAATACTTTTTTCTGTATACCTGCACTGGTGGCCACTATGGACAGGACTCAGTAGGTCCTGAGCCATCATCTCAACAACCTGCAAAAACAGCATTTTTGTTAGCCAGGGCTCAAAATACTTTTTTCTGTATACCTGCACTGGTGGCCACTATGGACAGGACTCAGTAGGTCCTGAGCCATCATCTCAACAACCTGCAAAAACAGCATTTTTGTTAGCCAGGGGTCGAAATACTTTTTTCTGTATACCTGCACTGGTGGCCACTATGGACAGGACTCAGTAGGTCCTGAGCCATCATCTCAACTACCTACAGGGAAATGATAAGGTGTGTTCTTCTATTTGATGTTTCATCAACAGGACTGTGTACCTACATGTAATGTACCTGTAAAAGTCCAGACAAGAATACCTGGTGGTACTTAAACAATACTATTCCCACATCCCCATCCCTCTACCCCTATCCCTAGAACCTGACCTGATGTCTTGGTCATCAAAGAGAATAACGGACAAACAACAACATCCCTCTATCCCTATCCCATTTTTTGCTCATATATGGTGACAGGCATCTCTACCCATATCTCTGGTTTATAACTACCGGTAATATACAATTTCAGACAACCCATCTAGCAAAATACCGGTAAGACTGGGTCAATTTCTGACATTTATTTTTCACTTTTGGACAATTCTTCACTAACACAAGTCTTTCTTTCTCCAGCAAGGAGAGTTAGGAATGACGTCTGACCTTTGTGAGCATCTTGATGGCAGCGAGGTTGATGGGATACTCTGCCGTCTGTACGATGGGACAGAGTACACGGACACACTGCTCTGCCTGCAGGGAGTTGGCAGCCGTGCTGCAGGTTTCCTCCGCAGCTCGGACCACCTGCAGGAACAGGTTCAACATTCGTTCATGTTTTGAGTATACAGACCTACATGTAGTCAGTACGAACTGTAACATGGTGCAAACTCCATTGTCTCTTCAAGGATGCCAACAAGTCAGTACCATTTGTTAAAGTAAACCTGTTGTATAAGACATGCACTAAGAAACAATGTCTTAGCCTGGAGGAAATCAGGCAACTATGCTTTAACTACCTGAATGGAAGATTTAAATAATCCTTTTGCATTATATACGTTGAAATGTGGCCAGAAAATCACTTATGAAATGTTGAAATGTGGCCATCATTTTCCAGTTTGACATCAAGATTTTGGAAACTGTTGGGACAGAAATTCCTTGCTACCAATTTATGCTCTTTGCATGCAAAACATTGTTACAGTGGCAAAAGTTCTACTTGCCTCTTTCTGCACATCCTTGTGAGCTTCCAGGATCTTCATGATGGTGAGTTCAGCGTAGCTCTTGAACCTGGCGGGCTGGTTCCGCAGGATCTCACGGAGGGCTCTCAGGGACAGAGCGCGGATAGCAGCCTCTCGGTCGCCCATCGTCTCCAGTAACATCAGCAGGATGGTCTTGAAGTGCTCGTCCCAAAGTCCGACCGCGTCTTCCCGCGTCAGTTTGATCAGCTGTTGGAGGGCTGACTTCCGCTCCTCAACTCTGGGGGGGTGAAGGATAGGACAAGTTGAGTGATCATGATCATCTGAGTATTTCCTTGGTTCTATCCTGCTCAATGATAGTATTACCATTATTTTAGTCACCTTCACTTAGTAGAAGGATGACACACGAAAAAGTTTGTAGTTTTAATTGCTAAAATGTAAAGTATGTATGATGTTTTATAAAAAAATTGAAGATACTCTCCTTATTATCAGAAAAGTTCAATTGGATAGTTTTGGAAATCCTGCTATAGCCTGGCTTTTAGATCACTTATCCATGATGATCAGTTGAATAGTGATTTGTGTGTATGTGTGTGCGTGTGTGATGTCAGTGACACTTGTGCCCATGTGATGTCACTGATATGTGTGCCGTGGTGATGTCATAGATACGTGTGCACATGTGACAGCAGAAAAGCCTCTCCCGACAACTTCACCAGCGCTCACCTCAGTCGATGTGCCACAAACTTCTCTTTGTCTTGTCTAAACAACAAAGTAAAATGTGCAAGAATAAGCAAATACTACGGTGCTGAGCAGAAGAAGGCTCTCCTACGTTACCAGAGCTAGCTCTGTAAACTACATGTACTGTGGTAATTTAGAATAAGCAAATAATATGGTGCTAAGCAGAAAAAAGCTCTGTTTGTCATGTGAATTGTGACTACTACAGTGGGTGTGTATGCAACTTACCTAATACCAAATAAAGGACATACAACATATATATGGACATATCACAATATATGGGCAAAAAACAAATATGGACGAGAAGACACTTAACTTTCAACATATTTTTAAATGTGTTAAAACTTTGATGAAAAATTAGTTATAATGGCAAAAGTGGATTTTCAGCAATATACATGAAGCAATCTACATATTCCTGGAAACTGCATTTGAAATTCCCACCTTTCGTCATGATTGGACAATTCTCTCAGGAGTTCTGCTATCATCTCTGATTGGTCAAGGGGTACAGCTGGAAGAACAACAAGAGCATCGTGGGTAAAAAAAAAGTTACCGAAAGCCCTCCAAAAATTTGACTGCCAGTCTGACTTTGAGGTCGCCTCAAATGTAACGAACTGCAAATTGAAGTGTTTGATGCCTTTTTTATCTATCTTAATAGCAACTTTTTTCAGCGATTTGTATTTCACTTATTTCACTGCATGTTTCTTTAGTTTAGTGAAAATCTTTCAACTTAGGAAGTAAAGTACAACGACACATGGGGTAACTTACATTCACTAAAGTCTTCATCAAATGTGGCCTCTGCTAGAGCTGCTCTATTGTAGGCATTCACATTGTTCTGAAACAAAACAGCCATAGTTAGCATTCTGTGACAAAAAGTACCAGTAACTTTTTAATTTCTACAGAATGATAAAACAAAGTATAGCATGTCGTTAAGTTATATTTTGTGATATTTGACTTGTGGATTTTGTACTTTGCTATTTTTTTTCTGAGGTCAACGTAAGGTTTGATGTCAACAGCTGATTTATCTAGTCTGCACATGGCTGTCAGAGTGGAAAATTGCAAAGATAAAAAAACAACTACAAAGGATAGATTTTGACAATTCTTAAGACAGAATTAAGTGTAATGTGACACCCACCTCATCTTGATACTGAGTTGGGTTGTAGAGTCCCTGTTTTTTAGAGTGGGAATCCCCGGCATGGTCTGAGTGCACAATCTTGGCGTCTGGGCTGTCAGACCGAATGTCCGGCATGGAGCTGGTGATTCCACTGTCCCCTGAAACCTGCAGAATCACAGACATCCAGAGGTAAGTCTTTAATGTCTTTATTTCAATACCCTTTAGCCAGAACTGGCTAGTCTTACAGGGTACATTTGTACGACGTACAAAAATAAAAACATACATGACATACATCACATTTGGAAACAGTGTAAACGTGTAAGCAAAGGACTTGTTCATCTTTTGTTTGGATTATCGTCAAGTTAAGGTCTATAGAGATCTCTCAAACATGCCTGTCATGAGAAATCTTGCTCACCAGTTGCATATAAAAGAAAGCCCTAACATACTGGATAAATTACAGAGTTTACTTCTGGACGTTTCAAGTGACATCCATCACTCTTCTTCAGCATCAGTAAAATGAACTGAGAGAACAAGTCGACACCAATCACATGTAAGGGAACTGGAAAAAAGAGTTGAACATGACCAAGAACTGTGTCACTATTATGGAAATGAGGATAAGGTAGCTTCTATGTCCCTTGTCCTTGTTTTACCAACCAGAAATATTTCCGTATGACTGCGATCACCTTTATTACCTCATCGCTGTCTTTTTTCTTGTCTAACTTGATAGGTTCGTGGTCGTCGTGGTGGAAGTTGTAGTTCTGGATCTCTGCGGTCGTCTGTCGGAGCGAGTTGTAGATTTCCTCAGAGTTCATGTTCTCGGCATCGTAGTCCACGCTGCCCGCAGGCGAGGCGTTGCGGAGGCTACCAAGTCTGGCCAGGGGGGAGGTCAGCCCGCTGCGGGGGGATTGCACTGGGGTAGTTCTTCGTGGGCTGCCCTGTGGGAATCGGGAATGGAAAGTGTTTATAACCGACTAACCCCAATATATAAAATGTACAACACACTCCTGTGCTGACCTTTTACCACATGGGTCACGTTACTGCCCTTGTCAGTACAATTTGTAGCTGAAGAAAGATGGCGGATGTTGTCTGAAAGCCTGTACGCTTTAGCCATGCATACCAGTTTAATCCTTCCTTGTACTACCGGTATAAAGTGTTTATATAAAAAAAAGACTTTTGCAACGATTTTTGTAGACATTCTCAGCTTAAGCCCCAACATTTCTAGAGCAGCCTTCATAACCCCGACTTGTCCTAGTTTATCAGTTAGTCCTCACTCACAATAAGTCCAGCTTGTCTCAAATCCTGACTTTTAGGAATAAGAGATGCTGTTACAGTCTGATTCATGTCAACCATAACCTCTGAGTAGCCTTTGGGTCTTGTGACATGATATTTTTGATTTTATACAAAAAGATTGCATGGAAAGGTGCTACTCAATATTGTTACATATGTGACGGTCAGTAATGAGTTAAGTTTTACAAATTGTTCAAATTTTTGTACCTAACCTATACTCATAATGTTCTAGAGCATACCATGACTGTTTGTTTACATTTCTTCCTTTTTTGCTATCACACATGGTTGCATATAATGCATAGTTCTCACCAGGCTATTTGATCGTAGGGGCCCCCTACACTGTGACTTAAACCCCCTACGCTGTCTTTCAGCCAGTGTAGGGGTGTTTTTGGGGGGAGAGGCTTCATTAACCTTCCAATCAAAATATAACTTTAGAATTATGAAGATAATACAACGGGAAAACAAATTTTTTTTTTGGGGGGGGGGGGGAGGAATACCAGACTCACTGCTGTGGTCCCATTTTGGGGATTCAATGCGCGACTTGTGCCCTTCTGTACCTGACCCATACGCTGTGAAAAAATCCTGGTGAGAACACTGTAATGTTACAGTAACTCATTTAGTCATTCCAATGGTATATGAAAGTCCACTGACCTGGTTGGCATTGCTGGTGTTGCGGAGGTGGTTGTGGAGTAGTTTGGTGGCTCCGTCCTGAAAGGTCTTGGGCAGAACCGACAGCATCATGCTGAACTCGGGCGTGTTCAGTTCAAACAGACCAATCAGCACAGCTGAGGCAGCCTGGCAATGGAACAGGTTCTCAAATGAGTCAATATTCATTGGTATCTGCCTGTCTTTCCGTCATCTCATGGGATCCTTCATGCATCTTCATTGCTCAACATTACAGCGTTACTCCAAATAAAATTGTGACAGAAAAGAAAAAAAATTGTGGCTGCCTGTTGACATAACAGTTTCTCAAATCAGTCTGTATATCATTGATAACTATAAAGGATCTAACACAGAATGGCTGTTTTCTGAGTGGTACATATTGAACGGAAGGAAGACTATGAACAACCATTACACTTTCAGCACCAAGGTCATAACTAACAACATCAGCTACATATAGCGGCAAGAGGCAGAACTCCAGTCAGAAGCTGTAGGGAAGGTGTCTGATAGACACCAAAACCTAAGCAAAGTAAAAGACATTACTGGTTGTGTAAAAGAAAATCCGAATATCATTCCTATGTTTTACCATTCTGATGAAGCTTATTTCCGTGTGTCCTTACCTTTCTAACCTCCACACTCTTGGGCTCGGTGGTCCATGTGATGATGCGTGACACGGCCAGCCTGGTTTCGGAGGAGTTGATGAAGTCCTGCGGGTCCATGAGGACGATGAGCTGCTCCATGTACCTCAGCAGGGCCACCTTCACCTTCAGGTTGGGCGTCTGGGTCTGGTCCACGATGAACCGCATCAGGATGTTGAACTGGACGTCGTACGGGAAACTGTCCCTGTGGGGAAATCAGTGATGGTTGTGTTAGAACACTTTGGTCAGGCGCAGGACTCTAGCCAGCTCAACTCTTATGATTTGACCTACGGGAGAGTGCTCACAATCCAAGGGGGTTAGGGGATAGGGCATTGACAAATTTGTTATTTTCAAGCGTTTAAAAACACACTTTCCCACATTTTGAGAGTAACCCAAACTTAGTTCAGGGCCTAGGAAGTGGTCTCTTGGTCTACCATTGAGTAAATTTGCAAAAGAACAAGCAGTCTGCTCACCTGGCTGTGTCGAGAGCCTTCTGTACTTTGGCCTGTACGGAGCCCAGCAGGTCGGCTCCCAGTTTCTTCAGCAGCTGAGTGAGCAGGACGTACAGCCAGTCTGTCAGGTCAGCCTTGTGCACCATCAGCAGGTCCACCAGCGTCTCCAGGAACAGGCTGAACACCTTACCATGGGGGTCCGCAAACATCCGGTTAAACAGTTCTGTCACTCGCTTCAGCTCAGCACGGCTGGGAAGTAAAACAAACATCCGGTTAAACAGTTCTGTCACTCGCTTCAGCTCAGCACGGCTGGAAGGGAAAACAAACATCCGGTTAAACAGTTCTGTCAATCGCTTCAGCTCAGCACGGCTGGAAGGGGGAAACAGTCAACAACAAAGAATTAATAATGGTACAGGTCTTGAAGGTTTTGCTATAAAGACCTTATTTTCCAGCCCTATACATACCATCCTGTTTTTACGCAGCTAAGCCATAGTCTTTTAAGACCTGACTGACAGAGATAGGCATACTGTGTACAATGTCTCTTTGTGTCACATCACTCTTTTATTGCACTGTAGAATGACTGCTGGTCAAGGATAGGCTAGTTCAGACACCAGACAAGTTACTGGGACCTACCATAACAAACCTATCATCTACTTAAACGGAAGGAGGCAAATGATGATGTATGATGATGTCAACTTACTGAAACAATACTGCCCCATACCTGAGCATCTGGTTGCCCCTGAGCATGGCCTGTAGCCCCAGTAGCCCGTCCTTCCGCTCAGCCCAGGAGGTGCTGCCACACTTGTTCAGAATCTCTGCGATGTCTTGTTGCTGAGTCAGTGAGAAAAACACACGTCACAAACAAAAACAAAAAACACCACAAATCTTCCTGTTCCATCATTTTTTTTACATAGACCGCATGAAAGAATTGTCCTCCTGATGCCATGCAAGGTAACCTGTTGATGTTACTCAGGTTTATACTTTATCTTTTTTTCTAACAGGTTTATTGCAAATTGCATGCCCCTACTACTCCTTTTTGAAAAGTGTGGTGGGTTCTTAAAACGTGCGTGGGGTAGGGCTCTCCCCAAACACCAGACCTCCATTTAATGTCCTATTACAGAGACATCCCTAGCCAAATCTAGGTACTCATTTTAATCTGAGTGAAGGGAGGAAAGAAAGTAGTGTCCTTTCCAAGGACACAAGATTGGGGTTTGTCTCTGGATTCAAACCCAGGATCTATAGGTTCTGGGCCAAACACCCAACTATTATGCCACACGATCCCACATTTGCTCAGGTAATCATATTTTCATTAAGATTTAGATTACACCATGGAACTAAAAGCTTTCCTTAATAAGTTGTCGACTAGGGAAAAGTGTGATACTACTCTGTTGGATGAAAAACTGAAAACACACCTAAAGAGACGTCACAGCTGTGACAAGAAAAACAGCACAGACCACAACTTCACAGAAGAACGGAACATAAGCCTCCAGCAGATTCTACACGTCAGGCTTTTTTGTTGCCTTTGATGTGTTTTTTTCCTGATGGCATATCACCAGTTTTTTTAACTCATTTTCTTGTGGGATTCCTTTGAACAAGAAACTGAGTACTGAGAATGGATAAGCCATCAACAAAACTGCAAATTATCAACCTCCCAAAAGCATGACATGTGAAACCTGATAAAGAGGCTAACCGAGCACCACACATTAAACACACCAAACAAATAACAACACCATGCTGCGATGAAAAGGTGGAATGGAGCTAGCCGGTAACTTGGTATCCAGGGGATAAATACTTGTGTCAACAACACTAATTTATGAAACAGTAGCAATCTATACAGATAATTCAAATTAAAGGTCATTTTTATGATATTTTGGTTTAGATTTTCCACCATGTTTCTGCATTAGAAAAGCAAATAAATGTTGAGAAGTCTGATAAACAATTGCAGAGCTAAATGGCTTTTCTGGAAGAACTTGATGAATACCGGTATGTACATGTATGTATGATTATTACTGGCAGATACTTTCGATGCAACAAAAAGCAGATACAGTTCCAATTTTTTCCTTAGGATACCAGGGTACCTTGAAGTTAAACTTAAAGGAAATTGTCAAATCTTAAAGTGGCCACCAGATAAAGAGTCACATGTTCTATCTGCATAACATGACATCACAGAAGCAGTTGTTTGCTCACTCCTTGACAAAGATTGGAGTTGAACTGTCTAAAACTTGAACAAGTTTGATATTTTTGTGTTTGAAATTACAGTGCAAATCTGTTTCAGAACTTTTATTTTATTTTACCAAGAGTCTTACAAACAAAAAAAGAAAAAAGTGTCTGACAACCACTTCAAGACAACAACCCTCTCCTCTAAGGCCACACCAATTCAATTTATTCGTTAACGGATTCGCCCGCTTCATTTTTTCTGATTTGCAAATAAAAATAAAAATTCAGAATCAACTGCAAAATGCTCATATTTTGCCCTGAACAGTTGAAAATGGTCCTTTTCATCCTACTTGATACAGATATTCCATCTTTCAATGCAAGGGTATCATTAGAAGTTCAAAATTCATGTTTAAATTTTGAACAAGCCTGGTGTGTTGACTTCATGGCTCTTTATTATAATATCGTACCATTTTGGGCCATAAAAGGATGCCTTGGCCTGTTTTTATTTTTTATTTTTTTTCGCCCGCTCCATTATTTTTCTAGAAAAATCCGTTAACCAAGAAATTAAATTGGTGTGGCCTAAGTAACAGTGCTGCTACAACAGAATGCCCCATGTCTACATGCCGCGTGTCTCCTGACCTCATGAACAAGAAGCAGAAGGTGCTCATGACTTGACCAGTCAGTTTTGGTGCTGGGCTGGAAGGTAGTGGTTAGTGGAAACGTTACCGTCAGCAGGTTAGTTAGCAAAGATGCCAAGGGGGAAGACTTAGTGAGCCAAAGTAACAGTTGCTCAAGCAGCTGCAGAGATTTTGAAAATGGTCAGATGTTTCAGGTAGCATCTACTACTTTTCAGGTAGCATCTACGACTTTTTGTCAGTGACTGGACGTGCTATTTGAAACCTCTGTGACTGTTTTCAAAATCCATCAAGTCGCTTGAGCAACTGTTACTTTGGTATCTCATTACCTGGATGTCTAACCTTCATTGATGAAGACTTATAATGTTTTCAGTAGGTACAGTTGGTGACTATTTACTATGTTAGTGCAATGCTAAATATTACATTAAGCTGTGTTACCATCAGTAGAAAAGATGCCAAGGAGGTAGTACGTTTTCAGTAGGTAAAGTTGGTGACTATTTGGTGGTATAAAGTGTAATGCTTAGTCATATACTAGTATTAAGCACTAGAAACAAATTAAAGCAATACTACATATTCTATTTACATTGTCTCCTATGCCTTATGCTGCCCAAACGTTTGAATGATTACGTCAGACTCAGAGCAGTTTTTATGTATTGTCACTGTCAAAGATTTGACAGTGGTATAGATAGACCTGACAGTATACTACTAACTACTTACATATTAACTACATGTACATGAGTTATGAAAAGCTTTGCAATAGCAGCAACCAAGCCAGTTTTAAGAGCAGTGAAATATACAGTGTATGCATTTTCTCTTGAATATAAAAAATATAAAATTTGATTTAAAAACTCTACTGACCTCGAGCTGACGGCCGTAACTTGAACCGTTTGACTTGTCCGAAGAAACGGAACAAATTTCGCTGTCGTCATCATCCGAATAGACATCGTAGCGTCGTCTCATTGGTCGTCTCTGTGGGTGACACAGGGTGTCATACTGCGTTGGTATAAACATGGGTCTTCAAATCAGTACTTGTAATACATGCACGCCATCTAGCAACATTCATTGGAACTGCAGATCAGTATGACTCAATAAGGATCTTCAAAAAATACTTCACATGTACATCTAGCAACATTATTTGACAGTAGATTGGTATGTAAGATGTGTAAATGTATGCCAACTTGTAACATTCAATCGTACTGCATACAGAATGTTAAACATTTCTATTAATCTATTATTAATTCTAGATATTAATGCCATCTATTGGTAAAGACAATGAATAGCACTTCAAGACAGTGTTATATTCATTTCTACTGTTCATATTTACAGCAATAGACGTTAACATTATGGTGTAAATTACATAATGATAGTTGGCAAAAAACTCACATTGTCAACATACCACAAACAAACAGTTAAATATTATTAAAAAACAATTATTATATAATTGAAGGCTGGAATGCTCTACAAATCCGTTAACATCTGGGTAAACGATATTTACAGACAAAATTTATCTCCAAAACTAGATGAAATCCTAAGTTGTGGAGATCAATTTTGACTGCAAAAGTCAATAAAAGAATGGGAAAAACCTAGGTCTAGTTAAGTAAGTAAAATTACTAAACGTTAGGGGTAAGGGGCACAAGACAACACATATGAGAAGGAATCCATCCTTACACTGTAGTTTGTCTGGTGGTGGAGTGCAGATGTGGAGAGAACCAACAAGGAAAAGTTACAAACTATGAAGTTGTAAATTCTTATGGTAGGGGGGTACGGCATGTTGGCAGAATGTACTGTGCCCACACGAAGGTACTGTACATAGCATGTACATATAGAGAACATATGGTTAAATGTCGTGTTCACATATTCAAGGGTGACATCCCATCTGTTGCTTTAAAATTGTTGTGTTGGAAAAAATATGCTATGGACAAAATTCTGATGCAATGTTGATCAAACACCCAACAGAAACCGCAGTACGTTCTGCCAACGTCCTGGGGTGTACAGGCATAAACATGTGGTGACAGGACTGGAAATTTATTTCTGGGAATAGGTGCAATGGTGCAAATAACCTATTAGTAAACATTTAGGTGTACAGAAGAAAAAAATTAGGGTGCACCACAGCAAGAAGAAATTAGAAGTCATTGAAAGTAAGGGCATAACTTAGACTCAAATTGCAGAGTTCCAAACCAACCGACCAGTCAGTTGGTGACTTAATTCTCGTAGCCTTAAACTAAAATTAAGACGCATGTTGCTATGCTATCTGACTTAACATAAAAATTATACAGATTTTACCAGTATACAAAATTCTAACTTGAAAAAAACATAGAAGTCATGCTAATGGTACATACATACATGTGTGTACATGTACAATGAAAAAAAGGGAGATATCCTTGCTACATGTACTTGTAAAGCTTAACTCCATGTTTTAAGTTCCATGTGTTGTGTACTACATGTAGTATGTGCCCTTGTGTCTGAGTCAGCACATGTTTCGTGCCGACACAGTGTATGAGTCTCACCAGTGCATCTGCCACTGCTGCTTCTACATCTTTGCCTGGACCCAGGACTCTTAGGGCTGTTACTGGTGGATTCGCTGAAGAATAAGGTAAAGAAGATTCAGTTTTAGACAAAAGGCAACGAAGAACTGTCTGTTACTATAGTGTTAAAGGCTTTCATGACTGATTTTCAAAGTGAAAAAGAACCATGAGGTCCGTATAGTCATGTACATGTAATTGGTATTTCTGGGAATGGTTCTCTCGAGTTAGAAATGCTCTCTGGGAGGAGGCCTAATCAGCTCCGATGGCCACTGACACTAAAATCTAGACAGGGACAACTAAAACGATACTTTGGGACATTTTTGGGACAATAGAAAAATAATCAACATCAGAATGTCAGCCCTTCTTTTAATTATCATGCAACATCCCGGCTTTTGGATCCAGAAAAGTCCCCCCCCAAATTTCATGTCCACTCTGCATTTATAGTGCGCCTGGGAGTGAACATAAGCAAAATAAAGTTCACTTCAAGTTTAAGTCAAACATACTTCCCAAAAACAGGTTGGGACAGTGCATCCACACCTCGGGACAATTGAAATTTATTTTGGGGACAAAAGGAAGAAAAGTTAATTTCGAGGCGCGAACACGGACTACAGACTCTGCCTGACTCCTGGTCTGTGGTTACCTGAGCTGGCAGCCCGTGAAGACACAGGTCTTCTCTCCGCAGGTCCCAGCACCGGTCTTCTCCCACCGCTACTCTCACTCAGACGACGCTCTCTGCTGGTTGCTATGACAGAAGTTTTTCAAAAGTTACATCTTTGACATACATGAATAATGAATTAGCAAAATTGTCAAAATTTTCCTCATAAGTCACAACAACTGTCACAAAAAAACAACAATGAAACTTTCCTTGAAATTTTCTTTGAAGATTATCATACACATAAAATCTTACCAATAGAAACTCTCATCATTTCAGATCATTTCAATAAGATAAAGCACAGCATCTTTGGTGCAATAATATTGTACATGTAATACATACATTGAAATACCTTTCTTTCACCTAATATAATATTAGGTGATGAGTACTATCAAAAAATTATTCTTAAAATTAAAATTAAACAATAACACAGAGACAATGTTTTGCTGCGGTAGCACAACAATCTGCTTGAAATTCACACTTCAATGTTAGAGCCTCGCTGCTCACAAAAACAATTAAAGCACACTACTGGCAACACCATTCCATCTGACAGAGCATATTTACATGACATCATTGGGGTGATATTATCATTGCTGCCATACTGGTATCCCTTGTGTCTGTTAAATGACCGCTAGGACACCAATATGGCAGACAGTCAAATTCTAACAGTCAAACCCATAGCATCAAGATTCTTAATTAGTAATGGTTTTGTCAATAGGAGAAATAATCTAAAGATGAACCACCAAAGAGTGGCCATAATGGCCAGGTGGTCTCTAGGTATAGGCTTGGTTTTCCTTTAACGCCCACGATCATAACGATCATTCTGGCATACTCATTTTCACCAGAGTGAAATGAGGAAAGTCGTGTTGAGAGCCTTTCCCAGGGGCACATGGTTGGTGACTTGGCAGGATTCGAACCCGGGACCTCTCAGTTCTGACCTAAATGCTCTGCCGTTACGCCACCACAGCCCCAGTAAGGTTTGACTGTATGTATTACAAGAGGAAAACCACCCATGAATAGCATGTGAATGTGCTCTACAATATTAACAGTGAGAAGCGAAGCGTGAGTTAGTAGTCTTACATCGCATGCCATATCTCTTGGGGCTGGTTTCCCGGCTGGTCCCGGTGCTGCGTGGGATCC